GACAAAAGTCCATCCAGTTCAGCCATTAAAAAAAAAAAAGTTATAATCCTATACCCCCAGTTGATCCAGAGAAAGGCAAACAAAACCAGCAAAGCATGATCCAATTTGCTCCTGCAGGGAAGAAAATTCCTTCCTGATCCCCGAGAGACAATCGGATATTCCCTGGATAAACTTTACCTATAAATGTTAGTATCCAGTTTATATTCTGTGTATCTAGGAAAGAATCCAGGCCTTTTTTAAAGCAATCCACTGAGCTGGCCAGAACCAACTCTTGAGGGAGTCTATTCCGATTTTCACAGCTCTCACTGTGTAGAAACCTTTCTATGTTTGGAGATTAAATTTCTTTCCTCTAGACATAAAGAGTGCCCCCTTGCCCTCTGTGATGACCTCAGGGTGAATAACTCTACACCGAGTTCACTATATGAATCACTGATGTATTTATACATGGTGATCATATCCCCCCTTAATCTTCTCTTCTCAAGAGAGAATTAATTCAGTTCCTCTAATCTTTCCTCATAGCTGAGCTTCTCCATGCCTTGTATCAGTTAGTTGCCCTTCTCTGTACATTCTCCAGCTCCACAATTTTCTTTTTGTGAATTGGTGCCCAAAATTGAATTGAATATTCCAGATGAGGTATTATTATTGATTTGTACCGGGGTAGAATGATATCCTCTTTCTCTGGAGTCTATACCTCTTTTAATACCAGAGAGGAGTTTGCTCGCTTCAGAAACATTATGTGCTGTGTTGTGTTTTACTACGGAGACATGCTGCTTTGTATTTCTCTGCTGTGCAAAGAAATATAAAGCAGCATGTCCTTGCTGACAGGAGAGAGACCTGTGTTGTTTACACACAGGTCTCTCACCTGTCAGCTTTCCCTGACGATTGCCGAGTGCCAGCTGGGACCCGGTGATTGACATCCCTTGTCGCCAGTAGCGGCGTATATATAAGTGATTTTGCTCAGCCCTGCCACCCTGTAACAGTACTTATGCTATAGGGCAGCGGGCAAGCTGTTAAGATCTTGTTGAAAGTTCCAAAAAGTTGGCTTGGCCTTGAGTAAGTATATCATCAGGAAGTGAAATAGTCAGGGCAAACCATGTAGAAACGTTCAATTTCAAGTTGGATAAGTCTTGGAAAAGGTGGATTTAGGCTTATTTTGCCATTTTTCTCAATCTGCTTTCCCTCCTGCTGAAATAGCCTTGTTTTCAGAACTCAGTAGCTCAAGCTGAAATTTGTGCACAAAGGTGAAGGACATATCCCTTATTGAGTGTCTCAGTCTGAGATTTTAGTGAGAGCCAGCCTGCCTGAAAGGAAATATCGTGCGTTTTTTTTTTTTGGTTGACCCTTTCTTTGTTGTGTATTAAATGTTTTTTTGGACTGAACTTTGTGTACCAAATAGTAAAAAGTAAAGAAATAATAGCCAAAAAAGTATATACTTAAATGGAAAAGAAATGATCCCAAACCATTGTAGTTTTTCCCTGTAATCGTATGTAACACAATAGTATTTTTTGACCTGAGAACATTTAGATAGCGGATTACTATTTTTATTTTTCAGGCACTTATAATAATGTGCTTTAAAGCACGATACATTCAAACATGAAAACATTGCACTTATTATCACTTAGGGGACACAGGCTACATGCTGCATGTAGGCAGGTGCAGTCTGCTTTCTCTACTGTAGATGGCACTCAGCTGAAGCAGTAACGCAGCCTGGAGAAAAAGTCGGGAGAAACCAGGTCTCTCTATGGATTCCTTATCCCTGGAGGCAGCGTTCCAGTTGGCTACGCTGCCCCCAGTTTTTGGCATGCATTTGCAAAGGGGCTAGAGTAGGGAAAGAGCACATGCCTGTCAGGGAAAGTGATTAGGGAAGGGCAGGGAAAGGTTCCAGAGGAGTAAAATTGGCTTGTGTTGACCTGATACAGAATAGCAAAGTCAACTACAAAAATGCAGTACTTAACTGATAAATGAATTGATTGGATGTTATGTGACTTACTGTAGAAACCAATGTGCTAATGTTTTTCTCAAAAATTGTTCTGGAGGACAATAAAGGTTACCTTTATTGATCTCAGACATACTGACCATTTAAAGGCACACTGTTAATATAGAAGTGTGACAGCTGCCATTACTGACTTTTATTTTAAGATGCATGCTTTGGGGCTGTCAAATTTAGCCTTTCTTCATTACTTAGCCAGTCAGTGAGCAGGAACAATCATATTAAGTGTTCTGTTAGCTAGTGGCCTATAAGAACATCTGAAACTACCCATAAAGATGAGACTTGCCTGTTCCAGTGAAAACCAACTGGATTTGGTGAGTGCCCTCTTATGTTAAAAACAGCCATTTGATATGTTGCACAATATAATCTAAAAGCGGCTCCTGATTGCTTACAACTCATGCCTTTCTCATAGCAATGTTTCCCTCCAGCACCATCCAGGGTCCCCATCAGTTTTCTGTACTTTCTGAAGATAGAGCAGATGCACACCCTCATCCCTTTCTCTCTTGCACAGTGCAATCTTGGGGCCCGAATGCTCAGCAGCGTTTCCTGGCATTGAAACTTGTGGGATGTGCATATGGGTATGCAAACTGTAAAAGTCACTGTTTGCATATCCACTTCAGTTGATTAGCAGGCTGCACTGGGGGGCCATATTGCTGCAGTAAAGTATTGAGCCGTCAGAAAACCTCTGCAGCTCAGTTTATATCCTTTGAATTACCTGTTACTGATTACTTTGTCTCAGGAGTGGTGGTAAGATCATCACAGAACAGAATTCTGAGCAGAATAAGGCACAGGGAAGAAGGTACTTCTAGGATCAGCAATCCAGAAGCATACTTTAAACTAGTTTGTTTGGAAAAATATGACTAGGTCTATTGTTTCCTGTTTTTCAGTTGGTGGTCTGGGTGGATCCCTTGGATGGCACTAAAGAATACACTGAAGGTTTGTTCATTTTCTGTCTATTGATAAAGCCTTAGGAAAAATAATTGCAAAGTGTAAGGGTGACTATAATAATAGTATAATAGCAAGTGTGCTGCTTATTTTAATCAGTGTTTTTTTTCTACCTCTAGGTCTTCTGGACCACGTCACTGTTCTAATTGGAGTAGCCTATGAAGGAAAAGCAATAGCTGGAGTTATAAATCAGCCCTACTATAATTACCAGGCAGGTGTTGCTTCATTATCTGTAAACTGTAATGTAAAATATTGAAAATCAATATAATTTTTCATTTTTAGCAAACGTTTTACCCATACAAACATTTTCAATATAGGCAGCTAGTAGAGGGGTGCAGTATTTTATTTAAAGGAAATTCACATTTGCAGTGTGTTAACAGCATATGCAGTAATGTTTTGCGGTAAGGTGGCCCATTCATTTTGACCACCATTTTATTTTATTTTTTTGTGGTTCACATTTGACCATTGTAGTGCTCTGAAACTTCTGGGCATGCTGGTAAAGTGTGTTGGGGTTCCATTCAAAATGAAAATGAATGGCACTGCAGTCAATTTTGTACATTACCATTTGTTGTGGTAATGAAAGGTTACGTATACTAACGTATACTTAACTGCATATTGCTGCAACAAACAGGGAAATGAGGAAAAAGTAGGTTGTGCAGGAAGCTTGTTGTCCCAGGTAGCAGGCCTATGTCCACTATCTTCTGTGATGTTGTGTACAGAAAGTGAGACTGAAAGTTGACATTGGGGAAACCTAAGGTAGAACTATAGGTTAACTTTTTTTTTTTTGATAGAGTAAGGGAGGGCTATAACTCCCATTAGTGTTTTTTTTTTTCTTTGCCATCTGTGTCTCATTGGGGAGATAGGCCTTCACTTTTAGCCCCATAGCTAAAAGAGGAAGAATGATGAGATCCCTGCAAATTAAGGGAATCCTTTGCCCTTTCTCCCCCCTTTCCTAGGTGTCCCCATTGAAAGATTTCCCCTCTATAAGGCTACGTTCACACTAGCGTTGTTTGCAGGCGGCAGAGAGGCGTTTGGGAAGCGTTTTTACCGCTTCCCAAACGCCTCGGACAATTCTGCACATTGCAGCACATGGTGCTGTTTTAATGGGAGCGTTAGCGTTGCGTCGCGGCAAAACAGACGCCTCTGGTCAAGTCAGGAGGCGTTGTAGCCTCCTATTCTAGTCTATGGTGCGGCTCCGCAAACGCCCGGTTGCGGGGCGTTTGCGGAGCGGTAACACCATTTAAACTTCATTTATAGCGTTTGTGGGGCGTTTTTAACGCTCGGCAAATGCCTAGCAACCTCCGCTAAACCGCGCATTTGGCGTTTGCTGAGCGTTAAAAAATGCTCCGCAAACGCCGGACCAACGCTTGCCAAACGCTATAGGGGCATTTGACAAGCGCTGGTAAAACAGTCAAGTGTGAACGAGCCCTTACTGTTCTGGGGTCAATCCAAAATTTGGGATTTTCTTTAGCTTTCACTTTTGATGAAAGTGTGAACACGACAGTTAGAGAGGGTGAATCTCCCTAACAGGGGTACACACAGTAATAGAAACTGACAGGTGTTCTAATTCCTCTCTACTATAGCCTTTACTTATACTTTATAAATCTACTCTTACGATGGGGATTACCCCTGCACTGCAATGGTCAAATGCTCATTTGTTTTGCCTAGGGTACCAGGAAAAACTTTACTTACTTACTTTATTCCTTGCTCCTCCAGCAGCCAACACTCACCCCTTTTTTTTTTCCTGACATTCCTTGTTGGGAAGTTCTCAGCCTCCTCGCTTACAATGCAGGATTCTTGGTCCCACATGGTATATAATAATGTTACGAACAGGAGCCAGGCGCTGTGTAGTTTTGTGATAAAAATAATACACCTTGTATGGAGGTGTGCCTTTAATAAGTCATATGGTAAAAAAATAATAAATAACCAGCCTGTGGCTTTAGGAAGCCAGGTTCCAAGATGGACGGCCCGTCCGCTCAGAGGGAAGCAGTGGAGTAGAATGCCTGTCAGTGCAGGGACCACGTTTACCCGACGTCCCAGCGTCCTGGATGACGTCACCACGATGTGGACAGACGGAGGGGGGGAACTCTTGCTGGAGCCGCAGCTTTAGAAGGAAGAGGCCGGTTGCTGGGACAACATGTTTCGCGCGGATGCGCTTTGTCAAGAGACTTCTTCCTTCTAAAGCTGCGGCTCCAGCAAGAGTTCCCCCCCCCCCCCCCCCTCCGTCTCTCCACATCGTGGTGACGTCATCCAGGACGCTGGGACGTCGGGTAAACGTGGTCCCTGCACTGACAGGCATTTACTACTTCCCACTGCTTGGAACCCTCCTGAGCTGGTTATTTATTATTTTTTTACCATATGACTTATTAAAGGCACACCTCCATACAAGGTGTATTATTTTTATCACAAAACTACACAGCGCCTGGCTCCTGTTCATACCTCCCACAAACCGATGTGTTTTTACCATGGCAGCAGTGAGTTTTTTCCCCAACAATCATAGTTGACATATACCATTCACTTATTTCCTTTGGGACACATCTGTGCGCTTTTATCCAGACCGTTCTTCCTATAATAATGTTACACCTGTCACTGTTGGCCAGAGCTCTGAAGAGAAGGGCCTTCAGGGGACTGGTCAAGTGAAAGGAGTAACCTGCAGGAGATAAATAAAAAGTGTTTGGAACTGGTGCATTAGGCAAAAAAAAAAATTTTATTTAATCCTTACAGTGTGGAGGGAGCCCTAGTACAAGGGCAATGTTTTCTTTTTCCCCAGGGTTCAGTTTGAATATATGTGAGACAAGTGGCAAAAAAAAATAAGTTCTAATCCTTCCCCACTCTGTCTAAAGCTAGAAAATGGTTTGTCTGGAGTTCCACTTAAACCACCACACGGCTTTTGAGTTTGACATGTGATGGCGAGTTATCAGTTGTGTGCATGGTACTAGCTCAGGCAATTCTTTTTCCTAGAAAAACATTTGTTTCTCTGTCTGATAAGACATACATGAAACCCAAGCCATGTGTTGTACTTCCCCTGTTGGACTCTTATATGTATAGATTTGACTTTAACAATGTTTACATTTCTATATTATAATACTTGTTTTTGTATCTGATTATTTTATACTGTATTACAGGCTGGTGACAACGCTGTGCTGGGAAGGACTATTTGGGGTGTGCTGGGTCTTGGAGCTTTTGGGTTTGAGCTGAAAGAGGTCCCAGAAGGACAACACATTGTCACCACTACCCGGTCTCACAGCAGCAAGCTGGTGAATGATTGTATCGAAGCCATAAAGCCCAATAAGGTTGTGCGTGTGGGTGGTGCAGGGAATAAGGTGATTATACCAGACCATTATCTGTGTAAAGCCAGGTTTAAAGCCTGGTACACACGATCAGAAAATCGTATGAAAAATACCACTTTTGAATCGATCGTACGATCATCTGATCGTTAATACACAGCTTTTGTCCAATCATATGATTTTCCTTTTGATCAGTACAGTTTTTGTCCAAAAATACAATACAAATGCATTACATCACTTCCCAATATTCTTTCTGTCGTACAAGAATTTTCATATCTTTAGTAAACTCTTCACTTTCGATATGAGACTAGCAGGCAAAAGAAAACCAGAAGCTCATTCATCCAATATTCTCATCGTGTGTACGGGGCTTAAGCGTGCGTCTAAACCTGACGCTCCTCTGAAAAGTGATCTATGTTCGGAATATTTTTCAGAGAGAATTGACAGGCAATGAGGAGGCGACAACCTCCTGTTTTAATCCTGTTTCTGCCAAACGCACTGCAAATACGTGCATTGCACACGTTTGCAGCACTTCTCCATTTGATGAATGGGTCACATTCAGCAGGCTTGCTGCCTACCGATCACAATATGGCCGATAGTTTTTGGTGCAGGCGCAGATCTAAACCTAGCTTAAAACAGTGTGTTTATACCAACCAGACTTTATCAGAAAAGCAGTGCAAAAATGAAAACCATATTTAAACATAGCAACCAATCGGAAATCATCTCTCAGCTAATACTACTAAAATAACCTGAAATCTGATTGGCTTCTATGTGATACTAGGATGGAGCTTGTGTGAATGAGTGTCATCATATAGTGTGCCTCAGAAAATGTAATCTCTGATTTTAGCTTTTGGATGGGCCAGGAATAGACTTCCTATAGGGTAACAGAAATGAGGCTTTGCTTTGTCCCAATTTTTATAAATAAACTTCATCACAGCTGCATTGGTCCAGTCCATTAATACATTTTATACATTTTCAGATCATCCAATTAATTGAAGGGCAGGCTTCAGCCTATGTATTTGCCAGTCCAGGCTGTAAGAAATGGGACACGTGTGCTCCTGAGGCTATCTTGCATGCTGTTGGAGGTGAGCAACTCTGAATGCAATACTGATCTTCCTCACTTTTGCCAACAAGTTTCCTGTAATGTAAGCCACACACACTAGTAGTTTAACAAGTTGAGGTACAAGAAAAAGGCAATCTACCATCATCCTTGTCATATATACTGCTAAGGGTAGTTTCCCTAATTCCATTGCATTCTTTTTTTTTTAATTGAAATCTGCTAGAAAATTGCTGTGTGTATGAACAACGTAGGAAGGTAGTGACAAGTAGAAATGATAATATGCAAAGTACATTATCCTCTGATACACAATAGGTAATCGTCTTATATCCAATCTAACCATAGTAAACTGAAATCTTATTGGTGCTAGCAGAGTGACTAAGGATTGTCAGTTCCCATAGTAATATTTTGCTGGGCTTCTATAAATTTTACTATTATGGTATTGGCTTTTTGCATTAGGGACCAGTAGCTTATTATGCAGCATGCATATTACTATTGTGAGCCCCCAGAAATCTTAATCGCCATTAGCTTATATTGCACCCCTAATAATAGCAGTTAATAATGACCGCAGTGACAGTAACATCAAGCATGTCTGCCTGACAAAGTTGTTGGAATTCTTTTCTTCATGGCAGTTGATTGGGACTTAGCTGCTTTGGGTAGGTGCACATTAACAAGTGTTCAGGAAAGGATGGCACAATCATTGTGTACAAATAAATTTATAGAAACACAAATTGTGTATATGTAGGTGTTTTGCTTGATTTTAACCACAGGGACGAAGTCTCCAGTTTGTAAAGCAAAAGCCTCTCAAAATGTCTGTGGCAGGATATTACAGCAATCATTCATTGTTAGGAGGAATACCTTGTTAGATATGTCAGCTGCAGCAAAGTTATGTATTAAAGCATTTAAACCAGACCACCATCTAATGTCAGCCAGACCACTTCCTCTCAGTCTAGACTGATTTTAATATAGAAGTACCTGAGATGAGATTTGGCCCTAGCACAGCGCAGCGCTGCATGAGATTTTGGGATTTCACATTACCTAGTTGCTGCAGATACAAGCCCAAGGGTTAAGTAAGTGTATTTAGTTCATTTTTTTTTCTACAGGTATTTTTTTTTTGTTTTTATTTTACTTTCACACTTCTATTTACTAATTGGTGGAGGGAGTATAATATATTAAACACACCTTGTTTTTTACTGTGAAGTATTGATTGATTAATTTATGCTCATTGAATGATTTATTGTTCAAAAATCAAACATTACATGATGGCAGCATTGCTTGCTGTCACGGCCGTGTGTTCATTTTTCAAAAACGCGTTCGAACAATTTTTAGTATATGGCTAACATTAAATATAGTATATATTATATAATATATTATTATATTATATAAAACTTTAATATACTTAATTACCTTTTTGTCCCATCCTGTCCCTGCTTTGGCCTGCAGAATTCTCAGAGGTGGGGCATATCTTGAGCACACCTTTTGCAGCAGATTTTAAGCATCTACAGCAACCTTGCCAGCTTAAAGTAGTAGTAAACTTGGACGTGTACCTACAGGTAAGCCTATAGTAGGGTTTACCTGTAGGTACAGTGAATACCTCCTAAACTTGCAGTGATTAGAAGATGTTTAAAAACAGCAAGCAACCGGTGACGTCAACGGCGCATGCAGTCTGAAGGAACGGCATTCCCGTGCTGTTCCTACAGAGCTGTGTGCCGTGCCTGTGACTCCCGCGACATCATTGTAGCTCAGCCGGTCAGCCAGCTTGAGCACGTGAACCCGGAAAGAAGACCGGATGAAGATGGAAACCTTGTCAGAGGTGACAGCGTGCCGTTGGAGGGCTTTGTTCTGATGGAAGTATCTCTCAATGTGCTAGCATGCGCTGCATAGCACATTATGCCTTTACCTTGCAGGGGGTTTTTATTTCTTTTTTAAACATGCCCAAGTTTACTACCCCTTTAAGGTCAGAATGGAGTAAAGCTGGTTGTACATGATTAGATTTTTGTTTGAATGTTTTGTAGAAAAATTCTCAAGACATTCTTTCTTGCCATTATTGAGTCAACTCATTTTGTTTGAAAGCCCTTAATATACTGTAGTAATTAAAAAAATAAAAATAAACATAATAGTCCCCTACATGGCTGCAGCATGGATCCAATGCTGCAGCTGTCCCCAGCTGGTTCTACATCGAGAACTGAGAAATGAAAGTCTGCTGATTACTCAGTTCTAGGGTCCGTTCTGAGCACAGAGCGGTGACTGTTAACCTCTTGCTGACCGCGCATAGCCGAATGACGGCTTCACCGCGGCCGGCCAGTTCTGAGTGGACGTCATATGACGTCCTCCCAGAACGCGCTCTCCTGCGTGCCCCAGGGGGCGCGCACCCGGCGATCTCCGTGATCGCTGTGTCCTACGGACACAGCTGATCACGTGATGTGGTGAAAGGCCGATACCACCGGCCTTTTACCACGTGATCAGCGGTGTCCAATGACACGCTGATCACAGGGAAATGCAAGTGCCGGTTCTCGGCTGCACTTTCCTCACGCTGTCAGATCGTGAGGAAAGTACTGCCGAGAACCGGCAGTTGTCAGAGCGGGGATCGGCACCGATCATCAGGGCACTGATGATCAGTGCCCTGATGATCGGTGCCCAGCAGTGACACCCGCAAGTTTCCGCAGTGCGCCCACTAGCCCCGCCCACCCGTTCCCAGCAGTGCCCCCACCTGTGCCCAGCAGTGCACCCACCTGTGCCACTCTGCAGTGCCACCTACCTGTGCCCAGCAGTGCCACCTACATGTGCCCAGCAGTGCCACCCACCTGTGCCCACCAGTGCCACCCACCTGTGCCCACCAGTGCCACCCACCTGTGCCCACCCACCAGTGCTGCCCACCAGTGCCCACCCACCAGTGCAGCCCAGCAGTGCTGCCAGTCAGTGCCAAGGGGTTGTGCCAGTCAGTGCCGCCAGTCAGTGCCCAGAAGTGATGCCAGTCAGTGCCGTCTATCAGTACCCATCATCAGTGTCACCTATCAGTGCCGCCTATCAGTGCTGCATATCAGTGCCGCCTATCCGTGACCCCTAATTAGTGCTGTCTATCAGTGCCGCCTATCCGTGCCACCTCATTAGTGCTGCCTATCAGTG